GGGAGGGAGGGAGGGAGGGAGGGAGGGAGGGAGGGAGGGACGAAAAGCATGTATGAGTCATTTTAACTCTTTGTGGATTAAAGAAAAGCTACAAAACATTTAAACTTGTGTTTGTCTGAAATTATTGAAGTTGTTTAGTTGTATAATCAACCCTAAAATTTAAAGTTAATATTAAAATCCCCAGATTAATGACATCTATTATTATTATTATTATTATTATTATTTATGTCCATAATGAGAATCATTTTAACAAATTGTTATCATGGGGTAATATTAATATTATATTAACCTTAGCCATAAATGTTTGAAGACAGTTGTAGACTGGCTGTAATGGTTTTTGAGATAAATAAAGCCGAAGTGTGTTCGGGAAACTCAAAGTAAAACGAGCAACACTGAAGACATGAAGCCGGAGCAGAGCGAGCAGACGTCATTGGAGCAGAAAGTGAACTCTGACCTCCTCTCCAGCAGCTAGCTGCAGTGAAGCAGCCTCTCTGAGCCATCATCACCTCTGTTTACCTCGTATTTAACACTTGGCTTCAACTCCTCTCTGTTCTGCTCCAGGTGGACTCTGACTCATTCCCTCTGAGGCCTAACGCTGCCCTGAGCAGACTCACGCCAGGACGAGGTCAGAGAACAGAGACGGAGAGGAGCAGCCGAGGTGGCTGCAGACGAAAGTGACACGAGACGAGGAAGAGGAGGGGGAAGTAGAGCAGCAGAGGATGATAAAGAGCTGAGCAGGAGCGATGACAGAGAGGGGTCAGAGACAGCAGATAAGACAAAAAGAAGCAGGAGATAACTCGGAGGATGTGCAGCGATGCAGGAAGAGGGGCAGAAAAGGAGGCAGAGCTTCATTAATCTCTGTCTTGGAGCAGACACTCCGGCCCGAGCGCCACCTCTTAATGACCACTCTGAGTGTCTGAGCACCAGTTTGACTTCCTGTCTGGTGAAAGTTGTGTAAACGTGTTTTCTCTCCTCAGACATCCAGCTGTCTGCTGCAGGCTTAAAACACCACAACACTGCCACCTACTGGTCACAAACAGATGTGCTCCTCGATGTGATGGAGCTTTTATTTCTTTAATTGAATCAGTCTGATCAATAAATGTAAATCTAAAGGCCAAAGTCAAGATTTACTAAATCTAAAGTGACATTTTCTCAGTGGTCTTCCATATTAATCTGAGATTTACTTGAATTATATCTCAAGTTCAAATAAAGACAACAAATCACTCTCAGTGTTTGGAACAACTCATTTGGTGCATGTAGCTTAAATTACTATTATTATTATTATTATTATCATCCATCCATCCATTATCTTTACCCATTTATTCCATTTTGGGTCACGGGGGTCGCTGGTGCCCATGTCCAGCAATCAATGTGTGAGGGGCGGGGTACACCCTGGACAGGTCTCCAGTCCATCACAGGGCCACATAGAGACAAATGAGACAAACAACCATTCACTCTCTCACTAACACCTAGAGACAATTTAGAGTTACCAGTCAGCCTAACATGCATGTTTTTGGTCTGTGGGAGGAAACCGGAGTACCCGGAGAAAACCCACGCATGCACGGAGAGAACATGCAAACTCCACCCAGAAAGGCCCCTGGACCGGGGTTTGAACCAGGGACCTGTTCGCTGAGAGGCAGCAGCTCTACCAGTTGCACCACCGTGCTGCCCTATTATTATTATTATTATTATTATTATTATTATTATTATTATTCCATATGACAAAACATGTATGTAAAAGAGTCTAAATTTAAAGCATATCATTCCTTGAAGTGAAGCACATCACCTGCCACATCTCATGAGTTTCAGAGTAAAATCCCTGAAATTATTCTGATAATTTAAAAAGTTGCATTTGTTTTGGTCAGACAGTAAATAATAATAATAATAATAATAATAATGTCATCACAATGTCAGCACTGTATGTTTCCATACAATGGCGAAATTAGTCTCTGCATTTAACCCATCCACCACCAGGTGGTGCAGTGGGCAGCTATTGAAAGCGCCCGGGAGGCTTTTGGGGATGAGGTGTGCTGCCCAAAGACACCACGTGATGTGCAGTGACTGGGGATCGAACCTGGGACTTTTGGGTCCCAAGCCGGCACAACTAAACGTGTGATGTCATGCTCAGAACGTGTGTTGGACGACTCTCTGCTGCTGCCTTTTCAAATTTAACCTCCATCTTTGTCAGATCTCATCTTTGTGTTGGCTAATGTTTAGCAGCTGTGGCAGCCATCTTGAACTGAATTGACTCCTAAAGTTAATCAGGTAAAGAAAGTTTCATTTAAATCTGTCCAGTAGTTAATGTTGCGAATGGACAAAATTAACTCTAATTTGTTACTGATAAACTTAATCTTTTTTTAATTCATCTTTATTAATATTTTCCACAGCCACTGCCGAGAGGAGGCGGGGGGGGGGGGGGGGGGGGGGTTTGCACATCCATCTCCTCAGCCTCCCTCATAAGGTCTATTCAGGGGTACTGGAGAAAAGAGTCCAGTTGATGGACAAACATTGGATTCTGGAGAAACAATGTGGGTTCTGATCCAGCTCTGGAACCAGCTGGACCAGCTCTTTACTCTCACTAGAGTCCTCGAAGGAGCGTGGGAGTGTGAACAAGCAGGGTTTACATGTTTTGTGGACTTGACTTAGAAATTAGACTCTGCCAGGGCTGCCCCTTTGCCCTGGTTCTCTTCATAACTTTTATGGACAGAATTTCTCAGTGTAACCAGGGTGCAGAGGGTCTGGTTTAGTGGCCTCAGAATTTTGGGCCCAGTAGGCAACATTGTGCCATAATCTCTCAATCTCACTGGTACAGTTTGCAGCTGGGATGAAGATCAGCATCTCCAAATCTGAGGCCATGGTCCTCAGTTAGAAAAGGGTGGACTGTCCTCTCCAGGTTGGGGTGAGGTTCTGCTTCCAGTGGAGGAGGTCAAGTGTCTCTGGTTTTCTAAAAAAGTTAAGTCTGGTCCTCTGGACATTCAAAAAATAAAGCAGAGAGAGAAAAAAAAAGATATGGTGACAAGTTCAGTTCTCCTGGACAGACTCAAATTCTAATTTTTTGTTTGTTTGTTTGTTTGTTTTTTGAATGTCAAGAGGACCAGACTTAACTTTTTATGATTTTTCTACCTGGATTATTGAGCATGCATCAGGATGTTTCTGGTTTTGTTCTCAGTGAGGGAAGAATGGAGCATGAGATCCGCAGACGTGTCGCTTCTGCAGTACTGTGGACACTGTGCCGGTCCATTGTAGTGAAGAGGGAGCTGAGCTGTAAGGAGAACCTCTTTGTTTACTGGTCAGTCTAAGTTCCTACCCTCACCTGTAGTCAGGAAATGGACTGAAAGAATGAGATCATGATCGTGAAATGGATCAAAATGAGTTTCCTCCACAGGGTAGCTGGACTCTCCCTTAGAGATATGGTGACAAGTTCAGTTCTCCAGGACAGACTCAAAGTAGAACCACTGCTCCTCCATATCGAGAGGAGCCACTTGAGATGGTTCAGGCATCTGGTAAAGGTGAGCCCTAGACGCCTCCCTAGAAAGGTGCTCCAGGCAGGACCAACTGGGAAGAGAGACTAGTGAAGACCCATGACACCCTGGAGAGACTACATATCTGAGCAGGCTTGAAGTCCTCCCAGAAGATCTGGAAGAGATGGCTGGACCTCCCTGCTCAGGACTCAAGACTGACTCCTGAAGACTTTGACTCCAGAACAAGAGGGAGGATGGATGGATGGATGGATGGATGGATTCAGTTATTATCAGACCAAATTTCAGCTCATTATCTGTTAAGTGGTCACAAACATTGTAAGAATTTTTGCATGCTTTATGTTCAGTTGGCTGTGGCAGCCATCTTGGACTGGTCCAGAATTTAAACAGCAGACGTACATCTAATGATTATTTTCTGAAAGATTCATTCAGATCTATTGATTTGATTTCTGTTTATCTGATTTATGAATAATTTTCTACACATGCACAAAAGATTATCGCTCCACCTCCTCCATCAGAGGCAGGTGATGATAACACAAACTTTTACCATGTTTGGATTGATTTACCTGCAGAATAATCTGGACTGTAAAATCTAATCTAATCTGAAATGGAGTCTGAGCGAGCAGACTTACTGATGTTGTACTCCTGAACTTTGTTGATATAGCTGTAGATGGGAGAGTAACCGAAGAAGGTCAGCATCACCGGTTCGCCACTGACCAGCTGCACCACGTGAGCTGTGTGGCCCTCAAGGGCATAGGGAGGAGGAGGAGGGGCCGGTTTCCGTGGTGACCACGAACGTGTGGGGATGTTGAACACCCACAGCTCGTCTGAGACGTTAGCAGTTCCTGTTTCCAACTTTCCTCCAAACATGTAGATGTCATCCTGATAAATAAATAAATAAATAAATAAATAAATAAATAAATAAATAAATAAATAAATAAATAAATA